CAAATAATTTTAAACTAGAAGATCGACATTGTGTAAGTGTATTTTATTGGCTTAAGGCCATATAAATTTTAAAAAATAGAAATCGCTATTCTTGATTACCAGAAATTAATGTGATTCAGTCGTAATATTGCAAATAAATGGATGAAACCTTATATTTAATAACACTGTTATTGAAACAAGAAATTTTAATTGATTTTTCTGCAAAAACATTTCAAATTATCTATAATCGCCAAAATTTAACATCAATCTCCCTGATAATAAAATTTCCCTGGAAACTTTCAGAAAATATAGACAAAAAGTACAGGAGTACTTTCATGCGGACACATTTGTTACAAATTACTAGGACAAGAGGGATATTGGATTAACTTTATACACAATAGTAAGAATTCGAATTCTTTTTTCTAAACATAATACACTTATTAAACTGCTTGATATTTTATGACACTTTATAGCAATGTCATTATTCTACGTACTGTATTGTATTTTGAAATGTAAAAACGTAAATCAAAGTAAATAAGATCAGTATTTCTGTAAGGTCTGAACCGTCCCGAAATCCGCGAAAATCGGTTAATTTAGATAAAAAATTTAATTGCTCAGAAAGATTAAAAAGAAATGTCTGTATCCAGAACCCTTTCTTTGTAGGTAGAAATCATAAATCGTGGAAGGAAAGTCGCCCTATGATTGGGGATAAATCGAATTTCGCTTTGATTATGACCTTACTCGTGCTCCAGATAGGTGTACCGATACGATTAGTAACGAGGGACTAGCCACTCGGGAAGCGTGATTGAAGGAGAATTACCAATCAGAACGGACAAAAGAAAGAAAGGAGATTATATGATTAGATTGTGTTCAAAATAACCGAGACGCTGTTTGTTAACGTGTAAAACGCAGTTTTTGTCTGGTGTGCCAACCTGTAACCCATGCCACTACTAGTTCTCATCCTGTCACCGACGACAATCGACAGAGTCTCCCAACCTGCCTGACGGACTTGACAATGCCACTGCCTTAAGATCTCATTTAAATACCGGAGAAAATATTGTCGATATAACAGCAATTTGTCTCAAGTAAAGTTGTGTCTCCTTTTATTATGCACTTAGCTTCACTGACAATATTTCTATTATGCTAAATTAACTATAAGCTTACATTATCATTTAAGTAAGTCCATTGATAGTGTTAATAGCGTATAATTGAAGTTTTGTATAAAATCACACTCAGTTTTTGTTTCAACGGACATTTTTACTAATTACATTATTTAATAACATACCTTACTCTTTCTGCTATGTAAATTCTATGTGAGCGTTTTTTCCTGTCTATATTTCCCATATCATATCAAAACCGCGGTGTTATGTTGGTGGGACAGACCACCTCCAAAAATTTTTTGGGGTTGCTCTTTTGGATTAAATCCTGGATTTCTCAGAGCAGTAAAGATAATCCTTAATATTCTCAGCCATTCGGCTGGCTTTACTGAGTAATTTATGATCAATTGCACTGTACTATATATACTATACTAATTATACTATATTGTTTTTATTCTTAAGTTAAGAAAAATAAATAAGATTTTTAAGATATCACGTATTCCTAGGATGAATTTTCCAAATTTGTGAGTTCTGACACATAATTTGCTTAGAACGAACGACTTACTTTGACTTTTATTCACAATTATTTTCGAGGAATGTTCGAGAAAATTTCACTGAATACCGTATTCTGTGTTAATTTTAAGAGAAGTAATGACTTACCTGCAAATTCTGGTGCTAAATCAAGCACTATTGCAACATCTCCCGAATTATTAAAACCTGAACATCCCATTCCAACCACTAAAGAAATAATTACATTTGTACTTTCGCACCCTTGAAATGAAATTGCAAAGATGCATGCTGCCGGACCAAACATAGCTACAATATAAATATTTAATTACATAATGCCAGAAATTTTGGAATTTAATTTAAAAATTACGATATTGCGGTTCCTTACCAATTCCTTCGGAAAATTTTCTAATATTAGTTATACTTAAATAGTCACGAGATTTCATGAAATCAGCAATAAAACCACAAGTAAACATAATTATAGCATCCGCCGAATACACTAACGCACTCATTATTCCATTCTAAAACACAGATAATATACATAAATTTGGTGATATAAGACTTATGTATAGAAATCGTCATACCTTTTCGATAGGGAAGTGCTGAATGATATGTAAGTATGATGGAAATTTAGTCAATATTGTATAATAACCGAAACCCCAACTAATTTTCGTCAAAGCTACTATCCATACTGCTCTGGATGTTATAATTTGTTTCCAGGGTATATTCAACTTCTGTTTTAAGTAAACATGTATTTATGAGAGCTTAGTCAATAAAGTAACGTAACAAATGATATAACCTTCTCTCTTGAGGAGATGTTTGGTAAGCTTTCGTTAAGAAATGCCAATTCTTTGTCAGATATTCTGGGATGTTGTTGAGGTCTATCATAAATTGTGAATGTAAGACATAAAGGAAGGACAATCCCACATATGCCTGTTGTAAATATATAGATTAGAAATTATACTGTCGCATTTTAGCATTGAAGAAACAATCGTATTATTTATGTTTACCGAAAGAGTAGAAGCTGGAAGACCATCCTTTATGTTCACAAAGATATCCTGTTGTCGTTAAACCAACAAGTGTACCGACTTGACTACCACAAAAAGAAATTGAGGATAATATGGACTTTTCGTTCTTTGGACTCCATCGTCCTAATAGTGTAAAAGATCCGTGAAGTACAAGTCCCTGTAATAAAATAATTTTTGAATAGGATGCTATAAATGAGATTTGCAATAACAATTTGTAAATTTTATTCTTACTTGTGCTAATCCGACAATGGCTTGACATAATGATATAACTGACACGCCGACATCTGCACAAAAGGGTGTCAAAATGATCAGTATTGAAGATAAACAGGAAAAAATTATGACAGTTTTCTTTGGTCCAAGTGAAAATGTAATGGATCCTCCAGCAAGTTGAGTTACCACGAAACCATAGAAATAACTTCCTAGTATTATTCCTTGAGTGGGTTGTGTCCATACGTAAGATCCCTAAAAGTAAATGTAATTAGTGGTTTATATTTAATATAATTCAAGCTTTACGAATTAAGTTATGCAGATTTTTCATTTTATAGCTAAGGTATTTCTTTCATTTTGACTTTGTTTATTCGAACCTTTTTTTTTATAATGAATTATTTGAATCGCTAACTTAGATTCAAAAGAAAATGTGTAATTTCGGTGGCTGACTTCATTAATATTTTGTACAGCTTTTAATCTGGTAAATGTTGAACCTTTAAATAGGTACTTTCGTAAGCCTTGACAAAAACAAAATGAATTAAAATATAAATTTAAAATCATTATGTGAAACCGGAAAATAATTACATTTCTGTTGTAATCATCAATTTATTTAACAACAGTTATTCCGCGATTTATAAACACATTTTGTATAAAACCTTCGATATTAATCACTGATATTTGTTAGTAATTTATGCATACATTCTACTTTTAAACATTTACCTCTTTGTAAATGTATGTAGAATTTTCTTGATAGACTTTTGGACATTCTGTTGAAGACGTGGTATTATACATGTGGATGGCTGAATGATTAACCATTGATAAAATAGCGATACTCAGTACAGATCTTTGGCAGTACGCTATTGCATGTATAAAAAATGTAGACAATACCAATACGTAACGAGCTGGAACAGGAACTGAAGTAAAAACGTTTGTATGATTTCAACAACTGAAGTTAAAATTTCAATAAATGTAAAGAATATAAATATAAGATTTCATAATTAATTCAAAGCTTCAAAGAATAATTACAACATCTACACAGAACATTATTGTTCACGTTATATTTCTATTAAAGAATCATTTCTCAAATTTAAATATAATAGAAATTTAATAAAATATTGTAACAGATGGCATTATCAAATGTTGCCTGTAAGATAAAGGAATTTTTCATGTATTGGTAGCAAATTAGTGACACTTATGGATTGCTAAATGTATTTAGTCCTAAAACTTTCATAAAATAAATAAATGACATTATCTCTCATCTTTTAATATTGATCACGTTTAAAGGAAGAGAGAAAAATAAGGCATCGCATGTGATGTTAGCTAAACTGTATANGTGTACCAGTAATTTTAAATTAATAGAAATTTAATAAAATATTGTAACAGATGGCATTATCAAATGTTGCCTGTAAGATAAAGGAATTTTTCATGTATTGGTAGCAAATTAGTGACACTTATGGATTGCTAAATGTATTTAGTCCTAAAACTTTCATAAAATAAATAAATGACATTATCTCTCATCTTTTAATATTGATCACGTTTAAAGGAAGAGAGAAAAATAAGGCATCGCATGTGATGTTAGCTAAACTGTATATAACTGTGAAGAAAATAGGATGAGTGTTGTCACTAAGCTTTGCATGTAAACAGAAGATCATAAACGATCAATCTAGAATATAAGCTAGATAATTCACAGGGAATAGATTATTAAAGGTGAACTACGAAAAGGATATTCAAAAATTTTATTCAAAAGCATTTCAAAGCTTTTTACTACTCTACTGTATAAGTTTTATTTATATTTAAAGCAGAAGTCTGAGTGTGAACAAGTGTAGAAAGTGTTATTTCTCTAGCTGCAAAAAAAACACCAAATATTAACGAAAAGGAGATATTTATGAAAAATAGTTATTGCAATTTTTTTTATTTCAATAATTAATATTATTTTCGGAGTTATGCATATTTATGAATTAATTTTAAAACATTCTTACCTTTATGTATCATATTTATATCATAAGATAAAGAGATTCACTATTTGAAATGGTTAAATTAATGTTTGAATCTTTATTTCTTTACCCTATGATACTGGTTTTTTTTAAAAAAATAAATTCCAGTTAGAATTTTCTTATTCTTCTTTTTCTTTTCTTATGATTCTAAAGTAATGTTGAGATCTTTTTATTTTTATAACGATGGATTTATATTCTTCTGTTGACAACTAATAATGCTTTAAAATATAAATATTATAGGAATAATTTTTAACATATCACCACGAATGGAAAATTAAAGCAACAGGTATCCTGCAAGATAAGAAAAATATACTTAACACGTTTTCTAAAATATTTTACTTATATTTTTAGTAAAAATTTATTTGTACATAAGTAAAAGACATATCAGTTAATAGTCAAGTTTAAAATATAATTAACTAGCAGATGAGCTCGATTTCTCGAGCATAAAATAACAACAAACAATGAAATTATCAGATCTTTCGTACTTCTAATTCTTCTATTATATTATATTATAGTTTTTGATTTATATAACCTCGAATGTTATGTTGGTTTAGGATTGAAATCTCTAAGTTTCTAATGTCACGTATCTTAAATTGTGTACAGTAGAGAAGTAAAGAATTTTGGAAAATATGTTACATAGGAGTTCATCATACCCGTTAAAAATCTAATATAACCTTTATAGTTATATAAATCAAATACTATAATATCATAAACATTAAAACGAAAACTATGGAAAGAGATTGGTTATTTTAGCCTACCATCGTCATGCTTATCGCCATACTCGGATGGTACAAAATGTCACGATTTCATTGGTGAAGTTGACACCAATTGAAAATGTGGTATCTTAAATTTTATAACATATGATATATTTTAGTTTTAATGTCAACTCTAAGAATCGGGAGCAATCACAGCCGCATATCAAACAGTAATCTGCCAATTAATCACATATCGCAAAAAGCAGGACTAAATATTTAAACTCGGCAACCTGGAAACGCAAATAAAACATATTGTATGTTGGGCAGTAAATTTGAATTATGTAATTTTCGAATTCGAATAAAACCATAACGCTGGTCCTATAGAAAGAAGAGATGTTGCGAAAGGAGGTTGAGTAATTCCAGCAAAAGTTAACCACAAATTAAGACTGGTCTAGCATTAATATTTCAAAAGTAATCCGTGTTAGACAGGTTGTGATGGCCTGTATGTTACCGAGTTGCTAACCTTATTGTCTAAAAGTCTTTACATGACTTGTTTAAATCAGGGCTGTGGAGTCGTGCAAAAATCTACCTACTTCAACTCTGACCAATGGCAGACTTGTTACCAAAATAGACCTGGAAATTCTTTTCTCATTATGTGACCTCAGAATAAAATATACAATAGAGTTCTAATATAGATAAACGTAGAAACTTTTTTATTCCTAAGCTGAAAGACTCCTCTAAGTAATGACAGTCAATATACAAATGTGTATTCTATAAGCTTTACTTTATTGTTTATTATATATATATCTATGGAAAAGCGTAGGAATCGGTGAAAAAATGACCCATCGGAAATTTTTACATTTTTAAATTCAAGACACTTTGAAATGTCGAAATATGAAAAAGATTCGGTCTTTTTTGTATGTATGTATGTTAGACTGTGTGGGGGGCACAATTTTGTTCAACCTGATTGAAGCCTAATATCTCCTGTGGTTTTTATAACGGAGTCGAATGGTTTAATACAGGAGTTATTCAGCTTAAATATAATTGACTAAATCGTGCCCCTATACACATTCTAACATCTTAGTCAAAACCATATTAACGGATTTTACTGTAAAATTATAAAATGACAAAAAGGTTAATTTTGAGGGTAGATACTAGTTTTGTTAATTTAAACAAAATTGTGAATGCTAATAACGAGTAAAATATTCATTAAGTTCGACCGCACTGGAGATATGACACACGACCCCTTGTATGTCTCCACCCTGTTGACCTTTAAATAAGAATTAAAATTTAATAGTGTGAAAAATCAGACGCTCTTATAAGAATTTTAATGATAAAAAGTAGTTAGAACTCTTTCCTCATTATTTCCCTTATTTCTCCCGTTTTCACCCCTTTGCCCGGGGAACAGAGCTTGTGACCCCAGGACTTGTACTGCGTCACTTAAAAAGGTAACCGCATGAAGGTTTTTTCCCGTTTTCTGTGATATTTCTGTTTATAAAAAGTTATCCGATATAGCCCCGGGAAAATTCATCAGCTGATCAGATGTTGTTGCAGACGAAGGTTAATTTTGCAGGTGTTGAGTCAGAGGTGGATCGTCGATGATGTAAAACCGTCGTTATACGGCTCTGGTATGACCATATTTGGTTCGACACTTGTACCATTCTTTCTATTTACTTGTCCAACGGTTGACTTTTTCCTCCCATAACAATAGGTTATTTAATTTAACACTCGACTGTTATAATTCTCGTACATTTGTTGCTAGTAAATGTGATATTCAAACGGTTTTCTTAACGATAATGACAGCAAAAATAGGATTTAGAATTTCCTTAAATCAGTGCAAAATCAAGCATAAGATCCTCACAACTGTATTTGTGCGGCAAACAAATTTTTTTTCGGCATTCCCGACAATTTTTAATTTATCTTGCACCATTTCAAAGTTAGAAAAATTTTCAAAGGAAAAAAATATGGTTTTTATAATTTTTTATGGGAATAGGAAAATTAAATATCGTACCTTCTATTGAACTTACCCACTTCCCTCCCTACTCAATTTATAGCCCTCGTTTTTAAAATTTTAATATAAACTTAATATCGCGAATTAGAGCACGAATAATAATTTTATTTAATAAAATTAAATAAAGTTTCTATCAATCTGATCTTTAAAGACCGTATTTAATTCCAAACAAATTCCTGATCAACCACTCAGAAATTAGATAATTTACAACTGAAAATGAATTATATAAGTTAGTATTTTCACATACAAGATTCCATCAACGAGTTGCTTAATTTTCTCGGCAATATTTAATTTCCCCATCTGTTATAATATTATCTTTAAAAAACTTTAGCTACTCACCTATAGTGTTGTTTGAAATTCGTTACTCTGAACGAACTCTTCGCTTCAAGGTACAATCGACGAACTTAAATATTTATATGCGGGAAGCTCTGTCACTAACAAATTAAAAAATTATTTTTAACTCTCATGTTATGCCAGGCAAATGAAAATTGCAAAATCAACGTTTTTAAATTTAAATTCATTGCAGTATTATTTTTCTTTTAACTAACAGTTACGTTTCATACATGGGCGTTTGTTTTAGTGACAGTAAATGTCATGATATTTAAATTTCAATATTTTCCTTAAACCAGTTAGATGACTGTCAGGATGATATGGCTAACAGGAAAAATATGATGTATAGGGACGAGACACTACTAATTTGAAGTGAATAGCGTATATTTTAAATTATGTAAACCAAAAATATTTTTACTAAAGTCGAATATTTAATTACTAAAATTATATTTGAAATTTATAAAACTTGATAAATTTTTATTGAAAATTTATCGTTACTTTTTTGTACTACCTGCACTCATCCAAAGTGAAAATGTTAACAACCATTAAATACGCAAATTCTTTTTATAGTTCTGGATATTTGCTCACGTTTAGTCTGTTCTATCCCTGTGAGTACCAAAAGGACCTCTTTATCCATAGGGAGAATGGGTTCGGTCATATGCCAAAAGAGTGGGCACTGGTGATGGACGAATCCTGAGATATTTGGCAATAATTAATTTCTGAAAAATTTCTGAAAATTTTTGACTATTCGAACATTATTCCGAGTACCCCAGAATGATACTTAAATTCAATTCATGATGTCCATCAACATTTTACGGGAATTTTTTTATTTTACACTATCTATGATATGTTTTACGTACATGTACGCTAAACTTTCACGTAAAGGAAATTTCAAGTCAACCTCAGAAATCTTTCGATAGCAGGTAACAAGGAATACATTATTTTTAAAAATGTATTCCTTGTTACTGAATATAATTATATTATACACTTACATACGTATTTTATAATGTCAAATCAGTAAATTAATATAAATGTTTTGTTGTAAGTTTTAATTTAAACAAAATGACTTTTAAAAAATATTCATGGAAAAATACTGCAGATACATTATTGTTTCTACTCTTTTAATAATATAGCATGACAAAGATTCTTTTTTTTTAATCGCTTGATTGCACTCCAGTATATTTTTAACCTGAAAACGTTGACAAACAGCTCTTCTCAAGGGCATTTAGCTCTGTACACCGAACAGCAGCGCGTGTCACATTACGATTTTTTGTGATGTAAAATATAATTTGTTTCTAAATAATACGTAATAAAGAAAATAAAGTTTTATGTGAAAACGTTTTTTTTTTGTTATTAAATTTCCTCTTCCCGCCCTGTGGGCACCAAGAGGGTCTCTTTTTGCAAGCCCATTATGGGTCCGTCCAGGCCCACAATGGGGCTGCAGGGTTGTGAGGTACGGGCCCCGTCATAACCGAACGGACCACCCTGCATAAAATTCCTGGGACTTTTTCGACCCATTCGGATTCGAACCCTGGTCCCCCAGAGCGGTAGGCTGCCACCTTAGCCGCTCGGCATTCGGCCCCTATAACGTTTTAGAAATGTATTAATATTTCAAAACTTTGTGTATTAATCATTTTAGTTTTTTGTGGGAGTTTTTCTGTAAAGCATTAAAAAAATGTTATATTAGTGAGGTTATGCTTAGCATATTAAACAACATATTAACAAATTAAAAATCTATAAAAAATATTTTTTTTTAATTCTAAAAAAATTATATTTACAATATTTTCAACCAATCTTTGCTTATTTCACGCTTAAGCTTTTGTTTATACAATTTTTGGAGTGAGTTTATAATAGCCACACTTTCTTTGAATTTTTTATTACATGTGTTACCGGCCAAACCGGATTTCAGGCCAAACGGATTTATTTTACGCATGTCAGGATTAGGGATTGCAATCCAGCAGTGTTTTCAATCCAGCTGGATTTTTGCTGGATCAATATCATTCCAGCGCGGATCCAGCGCAGATGTATTTTTGGTGAAATAAAGTGTTATCTATCTATCTATCCAGTAATTTATGGTTTTTTTTTTAAAGAAATAAAACATTTTTTTAAATATTTAAGAAACTTTTATTATTTAGACTGGTATTTATACAGTAAAACTTCTTACACATTTAGGTAGTAAACTTAATTTTGGTTTGGTTTAACACTTGAGATAGAGATAATTAACTTTAAATGTTTGATTAGATTATAATTATAATGTAATCTTTAAGTTACATAATAGCAAAGACAATTCTACTAATTAATTTATATTAATATACTAGCTGCAAGGACCCGCTTCGCTGGGCAAAAAGTAACGATAGTGAAGATTAAGATAATTACATTATAGCTAATCTTAACCGTTTTCACAAAATGCAAAAATTAGTTCCCCCGTTTCCAAACTAATTAGAGAATTTTTACGTTTAGTCAAACCAACTATTTTTAACGTTTCTGGAACGTTTACAATCGTTCTATAATGTGAGATCAGCCGGGGGTACACTAATTCGTTGGCACCACTTAATCGGCCCCAGTTGGTAAAACTAGTTCTCCAAGGTTTCGAATCGTAAGATCCGATCCTAATCTATTTCATAGGAGAGCGTATTTTAAAAATGATCCGAACTGCGAAGTTCAGACGTTCGTCAGGTTCCTGACACCAGTTAATCAATTTCTCAATGCGCGGATTAACACGCGTATGCGATCTGATTCGGAATAAATTTGAGGAGACATTCTGATAAAATAAAACATAAGTATAATTTAATATATCTCAAACAAACGAATACAAATAACCAAATACAACGATAATACGACAAGCTATAGGCTACGGCTTAATTTAAGCTAATGCGCGTTCGAGAGAGAGCTCACAAATGATTCTAAACATACGACCTGTTAGTTGTCGTCTTCGTTTCTGTCGATATAGGACACCTTGTAGATAGGGTTCATATTACTTTCGTATGTGAGATCAATTCGTGCACCAATATAAAAATATCACTTCTTCTAAGTGTAGACTCGGGACTTAGTCTATCGGACTCCGTTATGGGCGTTGGCCATCAGGAGGGAAACGTATGTGGAGTTTGTATGCTTCGGATCTGTCGAACAACTCTCGCTGAACTCCGGAGAAGAATTGTATGGAGTCTGCCCGCTTTCGGATCGGTCGGAGAACTCCGAATTCTGACTAATTTCTCCTTTTATTTCAAAATTTCGCCCAATCATCGTCCAGTAACTCTTTCGTGAGAACGGATGAGAGGGGGATGAATGAGGGGTAACCATTTCCCATCGGAGCGAGATTTTTAACCAGATATGGGAAAAACAGCGGATGTTCTCCTCGATGAAAGGAAATAACATTTGTCATCAATTTTTCCCACGTCTAAAACACTAGTTTTTTCACACAAAATGAAATAATATTTTGTCGATAATTTAAACATATTAATAAAAATTCATAAATGAGGCCCAGGGGCCTTTCGGATCTCACAATACTCCCTTATCTTCAAAAATCACACTACATTTAAAGAAGGCGTGATTTTTCACTGCAATACATAAGTTCGAATTGCTCTCTCTCTTTCTCAAAATTGCGTTATACATAATAATAAATTCATAAAA